TCTCAACCTTTCTAATGCTGTGAACCCTTTAATACAGTTCCTCATGTGTGGTGACCACCAATCATAAAATTATTTTTGTTGCTACTTTATAACTGTAATTTTTCAACTGTTATGAATTGTCTGACCCCTGTGAAAGGGTTATTCGACCCCCAAAAGGGTTGCAACCCACAGATTGAGAACCGCTGATTTAAAACAATGCATACAAAATGTTAGATGGCACTGGTAGCAGTAATGGTGATTACCGTAACAGTAGCTATTATAATGCAACCTCTTTGATTTTAATCAACAAATATTTAAGGCACGAAGGAAAGGATACGCTTTTAAATGTCTCAACATCAGGGCCCAAAACGAACCAACTCCACTGCCATCAGATACTAGTTCACAGCAACCATCAACTACAGAAGGACACTATTCTGTCAATTACCTATTCTATCAATTACCTAATCACTTGGCTAATGAGTGGCTGAGATGTAAATACCGCTTATGGGGGTCACAAGTTAGCAGTAGAGAGCTACAAGCAAAAATTATGTGAACTGAAGCATACTGTCTCTACACAACATTACCTCCAAAGCAATACACAGTGGAAGACTAGGTATTTGGATCCTTACTATTTAACTCACAAATGTGAGTGTGTCATCAAGTCCACTTGCCTTTCGATCTTATTTTCTGAACACTGAGTAGCCGGATTAGATCATGTGATTTCCCTACTCACTAAAGTACCACATTTAGTGATATGTGAACTCATTTAAATAAAACACTTTAAAAAAAAGTTTCTGTCCTTGAAAAACAAAAACAGTGAGAATTTAGTTTTTTTCCAGGAAGAAAAATTATTATTAGCAAGTTTTATTTGACAGAACAAAACACCATCCTTAAATATGTCTAAATGATTTCAGTACCTACATTTTCAACAACTTATGGGGAAAAACTCAGAACTATATGTTTATAGACCTTCTAATACAAAATGAGACTTTTATATTGAAACGAGCTAGATTTTGTTGCTTTTAACATGAATCTAAAAATTCCACTGTCCTTTGCAGTTATCCAGTCCCATGCTTTTTCTACTTCTTTCAATTCCTGAAGGGTATGTCTTTCCCCTCTCATTTTAGAATCTTCATACAATTTGGACTCTGAAACCTAGAATGCTCAAACACAGTGGTTCTCAACCTGTGGGTCACGACCCTTTCACAGGGATTGCCTAAGACCATTGGAAAACACCGATGGTCTTAGGAACCGAGACATGGCTCCTCTATCCATCTCCAGGCGGGTTCGTCCACATGCAGACGCCCACATAAGAGTACCTAGTGTGAAGACTGTTACCCATGCTACACCATGCTTCAAGACAAAATTTCATTTATTTGTCATTAGAATATTTCACAATATATAATTACATATTGTTTTTGTGATTGATCACTATGCTTCAATTATGTTCAATTTGTAACAATGAAAATATATCCTGCCTATCAGATATTTACATGACAATTCAAAACAGTAGCAAAATTACAGTTATGAAGTAGCAACGAAAATAATTTAATGGCTGGGTGTCACCACACATGAGGAACTGTACTAAAGGGTCGCAGAATTAGGAAGGTTGAGAACCACTGCAATTATAGATCACCGACTGGATGCTTTACCCCAGGCAAGTTGCTTTTCAAACTTTAGGCTCAAATGGCATGTTACCATATACCAGGGAAACCTTGTCTGATCTCCCCAAATATATACTGACAGCATTCAGTATATTTATCAGCACTTGTTTATATGTCTTCCCTGATAAATATAAAACAATAATTTCACATTGTCCCATATGACAGTAATTTCATGTTATTTCCTACTATTTTCCCAATAGCTAGCATGTTATACACTCAATAAAAATTTGTTGAATATATTTAAAATGTGGGACAAATCCAAAATCATGAGCTGCTTTAGAAGCACACATACCTAAAATGTTGCTATACAACTTTTAAGTTACACCTTAAACTAGGTCGTTCCAATTTTCCTTCCTCAAGGAAATGCTGTTTGAAAATTAGTTTTAGAGTAAAGCAACAACAAAATGTCCTATCACTGCTTGACTAGTGGTGCCTTATTTATCCCAACCACAGTACTACAGCCACCTGAATAGGCTATACAATACCTAGAATATGCAATCATTAAAACCAAAGAAAAATAACAAGTATAGACAGCAAGTAAGTAGCTACAAATAACCTCATTTATCTGTAAGGCTGCCCACTGACATTTTTAAAGGAGCAGAAAACCTCATTTTCCTCCTGCAGGCAGTTCAACATGTAACCCTCTATGCTTTTAAGCTACAAGAGGAAAAAAAATTATTAACAAAATTGATAAGTAATTTGAAAACTCAAGGCTATCCACTAACTTCTTAAGGAGTACTTATGATACCAGGAAGTACTCCAGGGGTGGGGAACCTTTTTTTCTACTAAGTGCCATTTGGATACTATAACATCATTCTCAGGCCAAACTGGTCAAACAATTAACTCAACCCTAATGTGATGGCATAGAAGCCCTGGTGGTGCAGTGGTCACACAATGGGCTGCGATTAGCATGGTTCAGTAGTTCAAATCCACCAGCAGCTCCTCAGAAGAAAGGCTGAACTTTCTACTCACATAAACATTTACAGTCTTGGAAACCAATAGGGGGTCGCTATGAGTCAGCAATGACTGAATGGCAGTAAGAGAGAGAATGTGATGGCTATGAGTTGGTATCCACTCCATGGCAGTGAGTTTGTTTTTTTAATGTAATGGCTGGAACTGCTTCTATTTGTCTAGGTGTATGAATGATGTTAGCTGATACTGATGATGTCACAGTTCTTTTACAGCCTGGGGGCCAAATGTTCCTCAGCCCTGAAGAATTCCAAAATTTTCTTAATACATGTTCATTCTTTTCCCCATTTTACATACAAGGGCAAAGAGTCACTGAGTTATGCAGCTTACTCAAAATTACACAGCAAAACCAGAATTCTATCCCAGTTCAATTGTCTTCAGAGATATCCCTTCTCAACTACTCCACTGCCTTTTCTCTCCAGCTCACTAAAATAAGGCTTTCATTGACACTCCTCCACTCTAGCACAAACTCTAAGAACCACTTACCTAAATTTGACCCTGAAATGTTACTTGTATTTTATTAACACCTCACCCTTCCAACCAATGCACCACCCTCCACTTTTCCCCTCAATTTGTATCCTCCAAGTCACAACTACCAGTCCAGTTACTTAAGCCAAAATCTTAGGCATCATAACTCTTGATATCCTTTGCCCCCCATCTCCCGACACCAATCTATCAAGTATACTTATGAAATGTATTTGGGTTCTGTCTCCACTATCATTCCAATACCAGGTACCATCATCTCTGCTTTTCAGAATGGTCTCTTTCCTTCCACTGATTCGTAATCTCTACAAAGTGGGCAGTTAAAATCAGATCAGCCTTGGTCTGCTTTAACTCTTCTAATGTCCTCGCACTACATACCTTAAATAAAAGCCAAAGTTTTGTCTATGGCCTAGAAGATACTACAAGACTTAGCCTCTACTATTTCTCCAACTTTCCATACTTTTCTCCAACAAGAGACTCCTTGCAAACACAATGGCCTTTCTGTCTCTGGAACATACTGCATTGATCTCTAGTTCAGAGTCTTTGCACTTACTGTTCCTTCTGCAAAGGACACTGTTTTACCAGGCGTGCATGGATAGTTCCTTCACTTCCTTAAGTGCTACTCAAATTTCACCTTCTAAGAGAAGTTTTCCCTGGTCAACCCATGTGAAGTAGGCCCTACTCTTAAGCATTCTTTTACATGAACCTCCATTATTAGAATCTTCTAAATAGCTCTATTATCTGAAATTATAACACTTGCTTGTTATGTCTTACCTCTATAGGAAAAAAATCTATCTTCCTAAAGCCTCCCAATCCTAACCAAAACCAAGCCACGGCCAGATGGTCATTTCCAATTCCTAGCGACCCTATCGGACAGAGTAGAACTGCTCCAAAGGATTTCCAGGGCTGTAAAACATTACCGGCGTGGCTTTCTCCTCTCCTAAACACAGTCCTGGAGACCCACAGACGCAGTTCTATCCTGTCCGATAGGGGTCGCTGTAAGTCTGAAGCACCTGGAGGGCAGTTTGGTGGTTTTTTAACGTATAACCGAGGTAGATAAGCCTTATCTTTCTCCAGAGGAGCAGCTGGTGGGTTTGAACGGCGATCATTTCACTTAGCAGACCAGGGCCTGATCCACTTCGTCTGGTCTCTAATCGTACAAGGTAAGTGCTCAGTAATGTTTTAAATGAATGCACATCTTGTTACTATATATTAAACATTTCTGATAAAGGACCTGGTCTGTGACACAGTTCATTTGTACTAATAGCATCTTAAAACAATGCGTAAATTTTCCAATCTGGTACATTTCTGCATAAACTTTCCCACGGACCATGCATAACATCCCACTTGAAACGGTTAACTATTTCATATGGACATACAGAATGTGTAGGCGGGAAAAGGCCATTTTACTGAGTACCTTAGCACCTGTTACGTCTTCAATCACCTTAAGAGATGTACCAATAGGCCAGAAAGCACATGGAAGATGTGGCCCTTTTTTCAGATTACTTGGGGACGGCTAACACTTCAGTGATTTCGACTAGAACTACCCTACTCTCTAAAAAGGGTGGTCCACTTCCTACAGAAGAGTAAACATCGCCGGTGAACATGAGGTAAGGCTCGTATTCTCAAACCGAAAAGAAACCCACTTCAGGGCCCTAGGCGATCATCCATGTGTTTAGTTATTGGGTCGGTCGACATATAACGGGAAACAAGTGCGAGAGCCACCGGTTCAAGTACCTGCTCGACTGTAAAACATACAAAGGTCAGCTCAGACCCTGCAGACCATCCTGAACCTGGGTCTCCGTTTGCCGCGTCGGCCTCCCCCGAAGTCCCCTGGGCCAACAGCAAAGATGTGTCTGCCCACGTCCCACAGCCATCTCTACGAGCTATCACTCGGGTACTCACATGGGCTCCAGAGTCTTGCTGAGCCAGGACTTGAGTGCCTCGAAGTTTTCAATGATCATTTTAGAAACCATCCGCGGCCGCCCCGCGTCCTGTCACGCTCCTCCGCCCGCCCGCCCTCCTGCCCGGGTTGCGGCCGCTCCGGCCGCCGCTGCCCCCGCCCCCTCCTCCGCGCGCTGCCCGCGTGGGCCGCGGTGGGAGGTGCCGGTGGCAGGTTGCAGCGCGCCCGCTCCGCCACAGTTCCGTGGGGGCTGCCGCGGGCCACGAGTGCACGGGGCACCAGCTCCTCCACCTCCCCGGACCCCAACTCGGGCGACGGTTGTCCGGGCCCTCCCCTTCCCTGCAGCCCGGCAAATCTCAGCCCGGGAGCGCGACGCGGGCCTACACCCGGGCTTTCCCTGAGTCTCGAGACTAGGTGCTTGTTGATAACGCAGGAAAGGAAAGAGTGAAGAAAGAAGGCGACGGGCGGCTCTATGGGAACGATTCGCGGGGTCTTCCCGGTTCCTAGCACCCCCAAGAAGATGGCTGCCGTAAACTCTCGCGAGAATGCATGTAGTCTCGCGGTGACTCCGGAGCCTGCTGGGAAGAGACGTAAGAGGTGGGAGAGCGCGCGACGAAGTGTAGTCGCTCTGTCCTCTCTTAGTTGCGTGGCTGGCAGATTTCTACGAAAATATCCTCTGGTCGTCTTACTGAATAAAGGCTTCCCCCGACTCCCTTTCCGCAGGACGGAGGAGTTCAGAAACAGCGGAAGCCCAGCGCGGGTCTTCGGAACAGATGGTCGTTGTGGCTCTGCGAGAACGAACTTGCCTGCCTTGAGACAGTCCACAAGCAGTGTGTTGCTCGGTGGGCTGCGCGGTGCGGCCGCCTCCGTGGACCATCATCTGTGTGGGCTGTGATGTGAGATTGGGAAGCTCAGGCTAGTCTAATATAACCCACTGAGCTCTCCCGAGAATTAGTGAGTAACTTGTCCGAAGCTACTTGACTTGAGGGAGCACGAAAGACCTGGGGAGGCATCGCACACTAGGAAGGTGAGATAGCCAGTGACAACCGTTTTAGAGGTTAAACTTCTGAGCACTGAGTTTGCAAAAAGGTATGGATTACAGTGTAAATCCACAACCCATATATGAGTCGCCGTGTAGATTTAGCTTCCATTGAATTATTTCTACTGTTAACCCGCACAGTGAATAGCCTTGCCCTCACCACTGTCAATCCCCTAGAAGAAGCAAATTTGGGATGCTGTGGTCCATGGCCATGAGACACATTCTCAATGCCTTGGTTGAGGCCTCTGAACCAATCTTGTCAGCCTTTCTGTGCTCATGATGTACTTGTCCCATCATGGTTCCATACCCACCACTACAGTCCCACATTTAACTGTGATTTGTTGATAGTCCACTAATCGGTTTTTGTAAGTTTCCTTTGCTCTCCCATATCTTTTTATGTCTCAGAATCCCTGCAAACCCGTGGATGCCATTATAACTCCTTACTAATAATCTTCCTCATGCTGATATGTGTCATTTGTCTTGTCTTTTCCTGTTTAAGACTTAATAAATGCTCTCCTTAAGTTAAATCTCGAGATTGGGGTCTCTTGTGAACCCTAGAACATAACCCACCGGAAACTTGGAATTTTCCTAGTCTCATTCCTAAGAATGAGGTTTTCTTCCTTCGAATTCTCATTGAGAGCAGACTACACCAAATGGGGAAAATTATGTCAAACTTGCAAATCAACATCCTAAAAATTTATTCCCATTCCTGGCCTATAGTATTTTCTGTCTTCCTCTGTCTGTTTCTCCCGTCCTCCTCCCTCCTTCCCTCTGCCCCTCTCTCCCTCTTTTTGCTGGGAATATAATTTATTTATTTGGTCTATTAACACCAAGATCTGCAAATCACAGCTCTAAACACAGGATCATGTAAACTCAGCAGTATGGAAAATACAGTAATTTTAAAGTTCTCATAGGATACACACACACACACACACACACACAATGAATGAAACACTTTTCTTAAGACAAAATCTTGGAATATCAGGCACAAACTGGCAAAGTTTTATTTTCATAAAGATATGTTACAGAGCTTCCATTACTAAGGACCCTAAATCTAAAGGAGATAGACACCAGAGACACAGTTTCTTAATGAGCAGGTAGAAAAGGATTTATAACACTCATAATAATTGAGTCTTTGACTTACTAGTGTCCTAGAGAATTGGGGCTTGGGCACAATCACAGGATACTCTGAGACAAGTTAAAGGGGTTCAGCTTAGGATCACAGCTGTGGAAGATATTCTAGTTATGTCTTGACAAACTATATGATTCTCTTAACTAAGATCCTTTTAAACTCTATTATATTTCCATAAAAAATAGCAGGGCTAGACTCTTCAAATCCCCTCATTAACATCCCCGCCCCCCCATTCTGATCTAAATTATCTCATATCTCTGAGATCTGTTTAGGATGGAAATATTGATCAGAGGGAACTCAAGTAGGGACTCAGTTTATGTGAGAACTTTGCCATGCAGCTTGTGTCCCATTGTCATAGTCTTTTAAAGTACAGAGAATTTAAGCTCAAATACAATTCTCTCTGATTATGGATTATACTATAAATAATTATTTTACTGCACAGGCTGATGTGCTTCTTATGTGTAGACTTACCTTACACTTCACTTAGAGTGCTGCTTGTCTTTGGACAAGTCTTTAAGGACCCAAATGCTATTCTTTCTGATAGCCAGGCACCAACTGATTTCTTTGCCACACTTTACCATGTCCCCTATATTTTTAGTGATCAATGCATGAGGAATGAATATTGAGCAGGGCCACATTATAAATAGTTCTTATGTTATGGCTTAGAACAAGTATGAATTCAAGATTCATTCATACATCTAAGGTATACACATATTTATGGTCCACTTTAGAGACAGCATTATCAACTTGGGAAATAATGTAAATAACCTCTATGGGATATTGGCATTTTAAGAGCAAATTAGCCAGTGTTATAGACTCTAAAATGCCTATAAAGGCTTAGATCAAAATATATGAAAGTTCATCTACATTGATTCAAAACTTAAATGGCAGAACACTTTTAAGTAAGCAATAAGAGAAGCAAACAAAGGACAAGACTATTTGCAGAATTAAGACATGTCATAAACAGCAAAGAAAACATGAAAATGGAAAATATGTGGTACACTTATGCTATGGTAAAGCCACTACAAGTTATTCTTTTCAAAGCCAGGCCCAAACATCATAGGTATAACTGGAGGAACTAACATTTTTACCTTTCCTAATACCACAGCAGTAATTCTTAGTATTTCTAAAGCTGAGAGGTAATACAGAATCCCAGTAAATTGATGTAAGTATCCATAACTTTTACTGATATGTCAAAGCTATACCGATAATTTCCTAAAGGGCACTATTTTTAAAAATCAAACATGTACTACAGTTCAGCATTACCAAACTTTTATTTCTAGTGTGACAAAGAACCTCAGGCTGAGAAATTGTTTAATACTTGAAAAGAAACAAAACTGAAATGTGTTTTAGGTTAAGCCATTTAAAAGGCCTCAATTATCAAACAACTAAAAAAAACATTAGCAGATAAATAGGAATTTATTATAAGTATTGTTTCCCCAAATAAGAAAAGTAAATATCAAGACTTTTTTACTCCATTGTGGTCTATGCAGCAAAGAGAAGCAGAATTTCATAGGTGGCAGATTAAAAAAAATATTCTTTTTTTTTTTTTTAAATATTCTATCCCACATACCATTGAAAGCTTTCATGATTAAACATCTTGACATAAATCATGAGAAAAGTATAAACAGGTACTCATTTGTTAAAAGAAGCAATTCAAAAAAACAAAAGACGAAGAAGCATTTCTCCTTTGAAAAATAAAATGAAACTACAAAAAGTATTATGTATGAAGTCCAAATACTGTTATTTAAATTTCTTTGAAGCAATTTATACTTCACTAAAAGGAAAAAGGGATGAAGACTTTAAAGATGAGAAGCCTATTAATATGGTTCATGCTGCCAAATAATAGGTCACTCAGTGTTTTGCTCCACTGGGATGAGGGTTTGAGAACTGTTTTGCTTTTTTTTTTTCCCCTGAAAACATTTTATTTGCAGTTAATACAGATATCATATCATTCCATAGTTCAATCACATCAAACATATTGAACAATTGCTACGAAATCAGTTTCAAAACACTCTCTTCCTTTTTTAATTCCTTGATATCTGCTCCCCACTGTACACCTGGGAACCCTTACTATACTTGATGTTTCTATAGGTATAATCAATCCTGGATGGAGGGGGGCAGGAGTCAAATGACAAGGTTTTAACCATTCAAGTCAGGTTTATCTTTTTTTTTTTTTCACATGACCAATACTTTCATTTTATTTATTTAAAAACATTAAACATTTTTATCAATAAATTTTCTTATGACTTAGGTGGGGTTTACATTTCAGACCATCAATTTTGCATTAAACAGTTCAAACCACTTACCAACACTGCCTGTTCTACACTATGCTATTCTTTTTTTTTTTT